TCAAGACCCATTTATTAATAAAAACTGCTAAGAAGATTAGATTCTTTCTTAAACTACAAGGCATTCATAACACCCAGACCATTCCCAAAAATAAATCTAGCTTTGACTTAAGACTTACCTGTCTGTACACACAAATCAAGCACTCGCGGTTGGTAGTATATTTTCAATTAAATGTCTTTCTCTTAATTTATTCATATGTTATAATGCTTAGCTTTTGAAAACCTCTTTTAGACTTCCATAGAGAAACACCTTTCGATCGTATATTGAATAAACAAAAATATTTATTAGCAATCCTTAAAAAACAATTAGCTGGCATCTGTTAAGAAGCTAATATGCACAGAACATGACATCAAATATCACTGTAAGAAATAATCACCGTCCTTCCTGGAATTTTAAATTATTAATCTCAAAGAAATAACAAAAAAAAGTTACTAAAAAATATCTTGTGAAGGCAGCAGGAAAAGAACTGGGCAATGAACAGACATTTATGTGCCCATCTGTGGTTATCTCTGAACCGGGCTTGGGGAAGGAGCGGAAACAATGATTCTAATATTCTATTCTTTAGAAATATTTCCTTTAAAAAAATATTTTACTCTAATTAAAATATTTCCATTTTGATAAAAAATTTGGCTGTGGAAAGAAAAAGTACATGAGAACTACTCTGATCATAAAAATGGTAAATAACTTGCTTCCTGAGCATCTAACACACTAGACACATTACAGATGTACTGTCATTGAACTTCACAACAACCTTGGAAAATATTCTCACTCCTACTTCACTGCTGAAGAAAATGCTCTTCTGTCTGGATCACAAGTTCTTTAAGAAGCCCCAAACCAAATCTGCTACATAATGTTGTTCAGGATATATACTAAAATGTGAAGGACTGAACTTGAGAGTGTGAGAAAAGTGATAAAGATTATTCTGATAAAACAGAAAATCATAAATGTGAAGCAAGGAGCTCATTTTATGAAGACGGGAGTAACACTCCAGCTGAATCACTCTTCAGGACCTTAATGGTTAGTAGGACTTGGTAAGCTACTAGACACGGGACAATGAGATGCCTAAGACATAGTCTGAAGTTTGGAGGAATCACAACAGTAGCGGTGCCACACCCACTATGCGGCCACATGGCATCAGATGAGGATGAGCAGCTCTGCTCCAAAGCCCTGGAGGCTGCCCGTGTCTGTGCCAATGAGGACCAGGTAAAACGCTGGGGCAAAGATGCTGTTCACAGTCGCGCGCATCCCCACCCTTCCCACGTCATCCGCACCAACAGGATGCTGTCCTGTGCTGGAGCTGATGGGCTCCAGACAGGTATGCAAGGGGCCTCTGGAAAGCCCAGGGCACAGTGGCCAGGGTCCACACTGGCCAAGTCACAATGTCACCGCACCAAGCTGCAGAACAAGCAGCATGTGATCGAGGCCCTCCACAGGGCCAAGTTCAAGTTCCCTGGCCGCCACAGATCCTCCTCATCTCCAAGACGTGGGGACTGACGAATTTTAACGCGGATGAACTTGAAGCACGGTGCCAGAGACCCAGCTCACGCCGGATGGCTGTGGGGTCAAGTACCCCCCTAACCGTGGCCCCTGGACACGCAGCGGGCCCTGCCCTCGCGAAAGCCTTGGCGCCGTCCCTCCTTATGTGTGCCCACCAATACATCCTACTTTCTTGTCAAACAAAAAAAGGTGCCATGGATGCAAGAGAAAAGTAGGAAAGATTTTATTCAGGGAAAAAATATGACAGGTAGGGTTAAGAGATTAATATTACACAGCCACATGCATGAATCGGACAATGAGTATTTAGTGAGCATTACTTTGAATGAGTGTTTTGTTAAATAGACAAAAAATGTATAAAAATCATATTTTCAAGAAGTGTATACTTTGGCAGTCACAAAACTTACGAGACACAAAATATAAGAAGCAGTAAGTGGTGGAAAACAGATGCTGAAAATGACAGCTTTTCTGTAGATCTGAGAGTTTCAGAATTAACAACCTCACACAGCAATTAATAAAACAAAAAATGTGCTTTCAAGAAAAGATGCATGCAATTATACAGCGTTATCATTACAGTGCTAGAGGCACAGCACTTCCAAACTACTATCTATTTGACTTTCTAGCAGATGAGAAAACGAGTTTTAGTTTGTAGACAGACTACAATTTACACTAGCAGCAAATTTTTGAAGTACAGAAATTTCCTTCAGTCACCAATCCCTCTAGCGACAGACAAATATGCTTTCTAAAACAGGAGAAGCACAAAATAAGCAAAATAATAGGTTTACCATAAAACATGAAAATTTAGTCTCATTATTATCCACACAATGGAAAATAAATACTGCTGATCTTAGAGAGATTGGGGATAATATGGAATCACCCTAAAAAAGCATAGAATTATTAATGTCTTAATAATCATTAAATATTGCTTTTATTCTAGTATATACGGATACTCCAGTCAGGATATTTCTTTCCCTTTTGTGAACAAGGACTGAAGATTATTATTTTCCCAAAACATCAATTTTTCAGAAGAGAATACCTAAGTTCAACAAATATTTGATCAGTATAACAAGGTACAAAAGGGTAAGTTTTTCATTAATCTCACTGACCGGAAAACGCTTATTAAAAAATTCTTAAAATAACCATCAGGAACTTTTAAATACATGCTAAGTATTTCTTTCATGGATTTATTTTTAAGGATAAGACTAAAGAAAGCAAACCAGGTGGTACAGCAACAATTTGCTCATATATCCCTGAATTCTCTTTGAAGGAAAAAAATTAGCTGAGGATCCAACTAAAACAGATATTGAATTATCAAGTAGACTGCAATTTCTGTTTGAAAACACTATTAGATGGAAAGGGAGCAAGTACAGACAAAGGGAAGAAAAGGAAGGCAATATCTAAAAGGAGGGAAAGGCAGAGCTGGGTCCTGATACACGTTTACACAAACCGTGGCTGTTCTTTTCTCACACATCACTTTGAATTTCTTGAAATTCCTCAAATGCACACAAAGAAGAATTATGCTTCACTCTTAACAGGCAACATAAAAAACTGCTTACCCTGCAAGTTATAAGCTGCCAACTGAACCGC